TGTTGCCTAAGATGTGAGCAATTACAGCATATTTTTGAATAAATCTTTTTATAATAAAAAGCCCTACACTTACGTCACGCTTTAGGCTATATATTTTTACGCCATTAAACTTAGGGGGTAAATATTTTGGATAAAAACCCTAATGAGGGACAGAGACCATAAATTGCTGCCAATATTAGGGAAGCAAGGTTGCCATGGTTTGTCATCATGTCATGTCATTTTGACATTTGTGATTGATAATTTGACAACTGTTAAAATTAAATTATTTTTTCATAATTTTATGCGGATGAAGTCGCACGGGAACAGCTAGTATAAAATAAAGATAATTGGTTAAATAGTTTTAGATTTCTACCGATAATAACTAATAATTCAATTTTTTTTATCTCTATCAGACCCTAATATCAACTTTTTTATTGTCCTTTCTTTCCTTTTGAATCGAAGTTCCAAACACCTTGAATTCTCTTTTTAAAATATCGCAATTTAAGTAACAAGCTTCTAAATCATGAATGCCCATATTGAAACAGGAAACGAACAATTTTAAAAAAATTGATGAAATCTAAAAATGCTTTAACGTAAGCTTTAACATGAAATATGTAGAACGAGAGGATAGACAGGTCACGTGTCAAGTGATAGCGACTACAAATTGGCCAAATCAATAGTAAATACACGTGACTCGGAAAACTACTGACTATTAATGCGTCTGCCGACATTTCGTTTTCTTTTTCTCCGGCTACGTTCTTTGGAAATTATAATCAGTTTCATTTTAGTTTTTGTTTTCTTCGAATATACTAGAAAACATACAATAATAATGAATACGCCACATTATACGCTTATTTTAATTGCGAACAAGCGAATGAAGAATGTAAAATAACTAATCTTTTATTTTGATATACATTACATTATTGTTGTTTATTGTACGTCATGTGAGATTGTTTGTGTTTGTCATACGATCGAGAAATATATTAAGATATAGATTCTCTAATTGATTCACTCTTCTACAGGAAATCAAAATGTTATTATTTAAAAAGAAAAGAAGGGGAGGGAAATTGGATTTGACAATGAAGGAGACGTATATGAAGGGGAAATATCCTCTTTATGGGCGTCTTCTCCTCCGTTGTCTAAGGTCGGCGAGGCAACTGCAATTGCGGATACCTATGAGCAGTCGCTTCGACTTTTCAGCGAATTCAGGTGACCGCTCGCTCGTATGCCATCGTATGATAAAAGAATAATTGGTCCAATCGATTTGATCCTTTGAACATCGGTTGGCGTCCCCCATAGTACAGCTAGTGATTGCTCTGCGGGTTTCTTAACGACAGATGAAACTGCCAATTTGATAGCAATCTGTTTCTTTAGAAATATTAACCACAGCTTTGGCTAACTCTTTTACCAAAGCACACATAAGCGGGTAATACATATATGGTACTAAGAATAGGTAAACAAAGTTATATGCAAAAATCTAGGTTTATTCCAGAATGGATTGAATTAAAATAGGAAGGTCACAAGACAAAAGTCCTTTAGTTAACCTGAACGGTGGGTCGCACGTGACATTGAGTCTACTATGCCAACTAGGTCTTTCTATGGTCTGAATTAATTTTATTATTACACAATAATGTATGTGAATTTTAATATATTTATACAAGCTACTAATGATATTATAATTTGAGTACCAGTTAAATTAAAAAATATATATAAAGATAAAGATACCATTATATTTCCAATTGAAAAAAAAAAAACGGCGAGAAAAGTTGAGGTATTTCTCTATAAAGATTCAGTAAATTAAGAAAATACACGTCAAAGGTGGTAAATTAAATGCACATTGCTTTAAAATGTTTAATTTTTATGAGTTCGTTGAATAATAAAGCCTACACGTGAGCCGCGGTAATGTCAAAGGACTTCAGCTATAATATCGCTGCGAAACACCGATCAATATGAAACACGACAGTATAAAAGACTTAACCTATTAAAGCAAGAATTATTAGAAATATTTTGAATAAATATTCAACTTGATGTTAACAATGGCTCCGAATTTTTAACAACGCATCGGTTTTTAGTTAATTTCATTATCTTCCGAAGCAAAAATCTTTCTCTTTTTGACCGACTTCTTCCTGTATACCCATACGTACCAGAGTATTTTCACAATCTGATAAATATATAAAACTCGTAAACACGAGTTCATACAAAAAAAAATATCGATATAAGATGAAAATAGTTAATTTTATCTATTTTTTGAGACTTTACTAATTTCTCTTTACCAAATAGGGGATCAAATTTCCAATATAGTATTAAAGCCATGGTCGATTTTAGATTTAAAAATGATTCCTTATACCATTATGTTTTTTTAAAAAACATACAGACAAATTGAGTACCTCTTTCTTTGGGAAGTCGGTCAAAAATCAAAATAAAACATTAAGATTGTAACTACTTATTAACTGATTATATAAAATAATTACAGTCACGTGCAGCATCTATCGCTGAAAGCGCCTTCAATGTGGTGCATACATTTGAGTAGAAACGACCTCTTGACCGGACGTCACGCCATTACAACATATTCCTATTCTATTGAATTTTGCACCATTTGAAACAATTTAAAATAAATGAGTCGGCATTAATTTCTAATCATTTTAATAAATTGACATCAGCTTACCGATGGTAGAATAAAAGACTTATAGAAATATAGTTACATATGAAATTGACTCCTTAAAAGATTTTTAAAATCGGCATATCGTTAATTTACGCCTATGAAAAAATCTAAATCTAAACATAAAAAACAAACTAAAACTATGGTTGCAGTATGAATAATTTCTGTTAAAGCTTTTTCGAGATATTCAAATAAATATGATATAACTATAATAATTAGCAAACTTTAAAACCCTCTGATGTCTAAACGAAGCAACTTGGGTCAAATCGTTATATTTTCGACCAAGTAATCTGTGGTATGCCATTGTACACGTCTTTGCAGAACATTTTGACCAATAAATTAGACACGAAATTGTAACCACAACGTTTCCTCTTCCAAATCTACTAGGATCATAACAAACAATATATTAAAACAGTCACTTTAAGTAAAATCTTCAAGAAGTTTTGATTAACCTTTTTCACTAATCAATTAATTCAAATGTCCGATCTATCGAATAAGTGTGCGGCTCCACGTTTTCCAATGTCCTTTTAATCTAGTCACATGTTTAGTTAAAACTACCTACGCGTGTACGACTGACACCTCGGTCACGTGTACCTCATCGCCCGAACAGATGCAAATAAGAGCAAGCAAAAGTATTCAAATCACTCTCCTATTAGCCGACCTGAACTGACTAAATAGAACATTTATATATACACTGTCACTATCGCTAATCATTCTGTATTATTTGAATTTTTGATTCTTTTATTGGAGAAGATAAAACGTGATTGAATTTCAGCAGTTTTGTGATTTGAATTTGTTAAAGACGCCTCGGAATTGAATTATGGTTTATGGTTCTTAGGATAATCTTGTGCAGCCAGTTACCTAATTGATGATGGGTTTAAATTTCACAAAAATGTCACAATAGCTAGATTAAAGGAAACCATCGCGTTTTTAACAATGATGAAGAAATTAAACATCGCTAGTATTTCATCGAATTTTCCAAAGGATCAACCTGTCAGGTTCAAAAATCTGATTCATCACCTTTAACTGAAAACGTATAGCATTCATTATTTAAATTCACAGGCAGTAAAAGATGTTAACAGAATTCACTATAAATTTCTAATCGCAGAATATGGTAAAGGAAGTAGAGAGTATAAATTCATTACCAATTCTATCGAGCTTATCAAAATCAACTTAAGTGCGCATAAAAGAAGTATAATTTATTACGTGGTCACGTGCGAACCTAAGCTTTGTATAGAAGATATGTAGCTGAAATAACTGAGAAAACGTGAGAGACATTCACCGGTCGTTCCTGGTCATTCCCGGTCGTTCCCGGTCAGTCACCGCCGCCGGCCTCTTGTGTAAGCTTGAGCGTTTCCGGATTATTCTTATGAAAAAACTTGATTCGGTAACATTGAAAATATAATCAATTCTTACTACATACACTCTTACAAAATACACGTGGAAAATGTCGGCATTTTAAAATCGCTGCGAAATGTATGTATTCCTTTGATTTGGTTTTTGTGATTTGGTTCTTAGATTGCAACATACATATGTTTTACTTTTTTTCAATGTTCATAGTTAGAAAAGGAGATTTTAGCAATACAATATTGTGAAATTTTAAACTTTTGATGTTTATAATATATGTTAACTGTGGCATTGTAAAGTTTCCGGGTTCAGCTAGCATCGATTGAATAGTATGTACGTGTTCCATCATAATTATCTACATCTCCCTGTGCCATAAGATGAATTAATTGTTAACACATTAAACTACCTTTGTTCATTTACAACTCTATTCTTAAAAAACACGTCATAAGATAAGTTTCTTATATTATAACGTAACATAACTTCTAGTCATTTATGTCATTTCAAAATGTTAGCGTGGTATGGACATATATTCAAGAGGAGGATGAGGACATAAACATATTAAGACTGAATATGGATGTCTACAAAGGTAAAGGAACAAAGTATGGATTGTATCAAAGAGGATATGCTTAAGAAGAGAGTGGATTCAGATATACCGGCTGATAGAAATATATGAAAGAGCAGCACATACTGTGCCATCCCTCCGTAGGTACAAGTTAATGATGATGTTATTTAAAGTCTACTTTCCTCGAGTACGTTTTGTCACAACAAAAAGCATTCAGCGACAGTATTCAAATATGGGAAATATATTTTTAAAAACGTAAACTTTTTTTTATTTTTGCCTTGTTCTTTACACGAACGAAAAAGTGCACCTGCACTTTTACAAAAAAAGAAACAATGTATCAAGTTGTTATTTTTCGAAAATATAATCAAAAAACTATATCAATGATTAGTGACAGTTAAGCCTTGAGTCAAAATAAACGATTTAAGAAATGAAGATATTGTAAAACTCGCTCACCTTAACCTTTGCAGCTGGTTTATTTTTACGGAGAACATTTATGCCGTTCCGAAACTGAAACAAGAAGATCATCAATGAAATATGACAAAGCAAAAGAATCCCCGATGAACAATGCATTCATATGACTATTGTCTCGCACTTTCCCTTACGTTTTACATCACAATACAAACATAGCACATTGTTGTTAGAAAACAGTAAACAATATTATTTTCTTTGACGAACAAGAACATATTGTAGACGAATTCATATCTTTCTAAAAAAAATTGTTAACGAATATGTTTGACTACATATATGATAGAGTTGTATCGTTCAATAATTGCACAGTTTCTTTTATTTATAATATTATTATAGCTGCGCATGGATAACTTGACAAAGTTTTCTCTCATTATATGCTATGCAGTAATATATGCCCGTAAATCCTCTTTTACAATCTCAGTCTATTGAGGTTATAATTAAATTGAGATTATATTATTGTGTTAATACTTACAGCACAATTAAAACAACCGAACAGCGAGGGTGAAGGAGGTGCTTGTGTGGGTGTGCCGAGATAACTTCGTAGGTCGTTGTCGCAGACAACAGCGGCACCGTTGTTCACCTGGCAATTATTATTGTATTCAAATCCATCTTAAAGCGTTTATATAATGGAGAATTAAAATAAATATGTCATTCACATTTAATCTAACTTTACATCAAAGTCGCAAACAATAAACAACGACGACAAACTTTATTCTTATTTATTAGTGTTAACAACATCTCATGCAACGAGTTCAATTGATTTTTTTAATCCGTTATCAAATACAACACAATAGGAACTACGAGTACGCTAGCGAGTTTTTTTATCTGTTACAAAAAACGGCAAGCTTGAGTACGGCTGCTATAAGTCCTCGTCATGTGTATCAGTAATATAAACAAATACGCTTCTTAAATTATTCACATCTTGCGCATTAACAATTATTCACACGGATGGTATTTCCTAGACAAACAATTCCCTTGTATTTTCTTACATCAAAACAATAATTCTCGTACCTTTTTATTGCATTGTTATACTGGTATAAAATGTTGATATATATATTCATTGACATTGTTATATTTATTTAACCCAAAATTACTTTAAAACAGTTTAGAATCACAACTTTAATAAAAGCTCCGCCTTGTTTCTACTTGTATTCTCAATAATGACTATAAGCTTGTTAACAATGTGCTACACACGTGCAAGATCGACTTTAAGGAGGTAACACACACTATAAAAACTTTTTAATAAAAAAACAAAACCGACTTCCAAACAAAATACACTAAAAACAAAACAAAATATTCTCAAAAAAACAGTACACTAAAA